TTTCCTGCCTACATTGTGCCACCAGAAACGGGTATTTTAAGCCAATATATGATCTTTTTCTAACCATAACCAAGTAGTTTTTGTGCCCAAACCTAACCACATATTGACTCCAGTTTTGCTGAAACATTAGAAATGTAACGTTTCAGTGTATCCGCTTCAAAATATCATACAAATGTAACGTATTCATAGTTTACAGAAACGCACAATGCCAACATTTATTCTGCCAGTTGGGTTGATTATTTACAAGGTCTATTCAATTCAACTAACGGTCACACAAGGCAAAGAAAAGTAGCAAATTCTTACAGTTTAGAAACTTACACGAGGGAATGTTTGGCATTTTGGTTTAAAAATAATGTGAAGGATTAACAAATTATCAAAGTAGTTGCTGCTGATTAATTTTCTGTAAATGACTCGATTAATCTATTAATAAGCTCTTAATGCAGCACTGATTTATACACAAATCAACAAGCTCCAGCTCCGGATTGTCTTTCCTCTCTTGAGGCTGTATGGTTTGCGGAGGTTTACAGAGACAGACGCTGCACCGCTCAATTAAATTTCTTTCCTGTGATTGTCTTAACTTTCGGTGTCTCATTGTATTTATTCTGTTATGATACACCCTGGGGAAAAGTTTGTCTTTTTTACAAAGACGCTCTCCCCTCTCACCATCCTGCTGTCACACATTGCCTGATAACCTCTGTTCAGTGGTAAACCCAAACCACCTGACATACACCTCCATGCAGATTAAAACAAAACATTAATTATCTGCTGCTGTTGTTATATGACCCAGATCTCTGTCACCCAAATTGCCCCAGACCAATGACAAGCAGATTTAGCCCACTGAACTTAAGTGTTTGTCTCAGACTACATAAATCACCTTCACCTCCATGTGAGCAGGCCTGTGAGAGGAAATATTGCATGACAGGTGAACTCTGAGAAGAATGGTATGTTCTTTCGAGGATTTTAATGTACGCGTGCTGCAGGGCTTTGCTAGAGTCTTCATCAGATAACTGATGAAGCCCATTTTGTTGAGCAAGTGAACACATATGGTATGTGCATGTGCATGTACTGTGCAGATACAAGTGAGTGTTCACAGGAACACACATGTAACTGTAAATCTCCCTCCAGCTGAGCCCTGCAGTGACAAGGTAATTTGCATTTTAGAGTTGAAAGAAGATGGTGAGTCACTCATGTCTGAGTTCTCAAATGTGTTTGTTTTTGATGGGTGTTTTTTTTTTTGTTCACACACAGTGCCTTATCAAATTGGCTTATGACTCTTGCAGTTACACATTTCTGTTTATCAGGCTACAAATTCTCTACCAGAGGGAGATGTTTTGACATTTTGAGAATGGTTCGACACATTTGCCAACACGTGCCACTTTTGGCAAAGAAAAGTAATGGCAACAGCAGTGTAAGAAATGTTGATGTTGCCGCCTAGAGGCAAAGAAGGGAAAAACTGCTATGTGCACACAAATGGCGGCTATTCAGAGGAATGAACTGCACTCATGGCACAAGAAAACAAATTGCATCCATTGCATACAATTTTGAAAATTGATTATTTGTTAAAATTGTTTATAAAAAAATGTCAAGCGCTTGTTTTAAGCTTTGCCAATGTGAGGATTTGCTAACTAGTTATGTGCAGATTGCCTCTGGTGTCATCTGAAGTGATGTGAAGTATTTTCTCAGATTTAGAGAACCACGCCTGCACAGATATTTCACTCCACCTCTACCAGTCGCTGTAGGCTATGTTGCTTTTCAGAGGTTCAGCACGTAAGATTTGGGGGGATTTAGTGGCATCTAGCGGTGAGGATTGCAGATTGCAACCAGCTGAAACTTCTCCCAGTGAGAATTCCTTCACCATTCATTGTTCAGGAGGTTTTTAGCAGGAACCGAATTATCTGCAGAGGTCTCTTCAGACAAATGGACCAGGTGATGAAAACCAGTAAAAACACTGAATAAAGCAGTTTCATGTAACAAACAAAAAAAACAAAAACAAAAACAAAAAAAAACAAAATTGTTTTTTGAATGCTCTTGGCTGGGCTGCCAACTATGGTGGGCGATCTCCATAGACGAGGATCCATTCCTTATGCAGATACAAACGTCTCATTCTAAGGTAACAAAAACACAATAGCCATGTTTCCATCAGCCTGTTTAGGTGCGCATTGTGCATCTAGAAGTATCGCATCAGAAAATTATGATAGAAACGCCAAAATTCGAATTAAAATCCCCTGATTCGCACAAACTAAAATACGCTCGCTTTAGCTGGGTTTTGGTTGATTAAAAAAAATGCTGATTCGCAAAACGGGGGATGGAAACAGTTATGTTCAAATTAAGTTTGACGTAGCGCACCTCTCTCCATGGTGATATCCACACTCCGGGTCGGGAAGGCGGTAATGCATTTACAAGCTGGTTGCCAACCGCCAGAAAACGTAGAAGAAGAAGAATGCGAGACTTGTTTTGTTTCCGGTTCTGAGAAAATCTCACAGGAGTTCGTAGTTTTCACCAAAGTCCGTACATTTAATGGAAACACACAGGATTCATATTTCTTTCAATGCGCATTTCCCAATGATTCGAATCACTTTTGGATGGAAACATAGCTAATGATTCAGATTTTTTGGTGGTTATAAACTAAACATACGTATTATATTATACTCCATTTCTGCCAATAAATGCCCCTAAATCCTTCACACTGGACCTTAAAAGTAAAGTGTTACTTAACAACTTTGGGCTCTGCTCAGGCAGAACAAATATTTGAAGATGTCATTGGATGTCCGTACCTTGGACTGTGGGAATTGGACTTTTCTGACATTTTGCATACAAAAGAATTAATCTGAAAAAATGATTGACAGATTAAAGGATAACAATGGTTAGTAGCAGCCATACATGTTGAACCTTGGGCTGGAAACTGTGATTATATCATTTGGACCTGTATCTGGTGCTTTCCATCAGAGACACTGTGTCTCCTTGTTTGCAAATGTGAGTCAGAGATGTGTCTCTTGCAGAGCGCTTTCAGTGCGAGTACCCACTGCAACGCTGTTTTTTAGGTAGCAGAGGGGAAATATTTCGATATGAACACAAGAGAGACACAGGATGTGGGGACTTCCACAATGGCCAGTGATTTTTAAAATCCAGTTTATTGGACATTTTAAATTTCTTGTATTTGTAGGGAAAATACCTGTACACTGAACTTAGTGTTCACTGTACACTCACTCTTTTGTCCTTTTTCTGTTTTGTGATCTATCTGTTTCTGCTTCTGCTCTTATTTCCGCCACTCTGTGTAGTTCACAACCACAATAGAGCAACTGCTTGACCTCTAGTTGAACTACAAAACAATACAAACCCGGATTAGAAAACACACCCTCAAAGACATATGTACACACACACACACACACACACACACACACACACACACACACACACACACAGGCCCCACCTAACTGCAGTCTCTTTGTCTCTATGGAGCCGGGCGAAGGGTGAGGCTTCAGTCGTCATGTTCACACCCTTCCTGACCCAGTGAGCGAGCATCCTGCTCCCCTATTGGTCTGTTCCCCATCTGGACTCTGTGTGTGTGTGTGTGTGTGTGTGTGTGTGTGTGTGTGTGTGTGTGCTTGTGTGTGTGCTGGGGTGTGATGGCCTGTGTTCTTGCCCATTTGTTAATAATTAAAGGCTAGCTTGTCTCCAGACTTGGGACTTTAATCAGGTCACACACACACAGACTCCCTCAGGGTACATTCTTTGACAGTTCATGTTGCCTCTTAATGCACCGGTGAACACACACACACACACACACACACACAATCACACTCATAAACACCCTCGTTTAGGCACAAACACAGAGTCATCGCAGCTGCACCTGGCCATTCAAAGCCAAAGTAACTGGAACCACCTTTGAAACCTCACACGCTTGTGATCCAAACACTTGACAGACCTTTATAGGTGGTGTGTGTGTGTGTATGTGTGTGCCTGAAATGTGTGAGGTATCACTGTCTAGTCTTCGACACTGGGTAGTTTTTAGCCACATCACACCTGGAAATGTCTCGTAGTGTCATAAAACGGTCTGCCAGACACCAGACAAGATGGACAGTGGGAGCGAGAGGAGCTTCTGGTTTGAAGTAGAAAGTAGAGAGGAGGAGAAGGTGTGTAAAATGTGACAGAAAAAAGATGTTTGGCTATTGTCTGATGTGATTAACTGGAAGTGAGGTCGACAGCGCTCACACACACACACACACACACACACACACACACACACACACACACACACATTTCAGAAACCTTTACTTAAGTACAGACCCTTGTCTAGTCTTTCCCTCTACTTTACGTGATTTACTTTTCATCGCCTCTCAAAGACGTCTGTGTGTGTATCCATGGGTGTGCGAGCGTGTGTGAGTCCATACAAGTTGTCTTGCAGTTTTACTGTTTCTTCTCCTGCCTTGAAAATGAGATCATCTTATAAACTGTTGATGGTATTGTACAGTTAGAGATGAAAATATGACAAATGAACAGGGTTACAGACATTTACTCAAATACGGTACTTCAATACAATTTTAAGGTACTTTACTTGAGTATTTCCATTTTCTGCTGTTTTATTCTTGTCCCAGAGGGTAATATTGTACTGCACTACACTTATCTGACAGCTATAGTTTCTTTTCATATTCATATTTAACATTGCTTCCCAACCTTTTTTTTTGGCTTTTGACCACCGACAAAAAAAGCAGAGTCTAGCTGAGGCCCCTTGTCACGTTTCAGATATCTGTATGAGTTGTTGGCTGTTCCACCAAAGAGACACTTCCCCTCAAAACTTCTCACATGGTTTCATTTAAACAACAGTTTTGAGGCCCAAAGATGTAAAATATGGCCACTACTTCACACAGAAAAGGCAAAGGTTAGAGAAAAGTCTAAAATATGAATTCAGATTTATAGCAGAAGTATGTTCTTTCTTTCTTTGACCCCATTAATCATCTCACAACCCCTGAGATTTATTTTGTGGCCCTTTGGAGGGGCTTGACCCCTAGGTTGGGAATCACTGGACCATCAGTTTTTTTAGTTTGAGTAAAGTATCTATAAAAATAAATTATAGAATAAATTAGTGCGTAAATGTGTTATAATGTGTTAAATGTCAATACTGATGGCTGTATGCCTTTATTTTGTAGGAGCCTGGCCTGTGCAGCCATGCTGATGTATGACTACCCTCTGAAGACAGACATGGAGACGGTGAGACATGTGATTGTGTAAATGTAGCTTTCGGTGCTGTATGTGTGTGTGTGTGTGTGTGTGTGTGTGTGTGTGTGTGTGTGTGTGTGTGTGTGTGTGTGTGCACTCCCATCATGCAAAACATGTTTTTGATGCCATATTGTAATTCTGACCTACACACACACTCCTGCTACATGTCTAGACAGACTGGTTCCCACATTCCATCTCTTCCTGGACAAACAGGCTGTTGTACAGTGGACATTTGCATACAATGGGTACAAACACTGCCAGGCAGCAGGCTAATGAACACACACACGGACACACTGTACTCTGAGACATAACAGTTATCCGCTCCCAACCAGAGCTGGGTTAAAGTTTTTTGGCTGGCTGTAGTTGTTTGTGTGGCAGAAACATGTTTTCCGTGTTATTCAGCGCAGGACGGAAATTTTTAACTGCTCTTTTGTCTCCCTCCTCTGCTTCCTTCTTCTGCATCCTCCCTTTCTCTCTCACAGTCATTCTACTCTTCGTTAGTGAAAACCCCGGAGCCATACGGAGTAATCTTCTCCCATCCCGCCCACCTCTACCACCCCACGCACATGCACACCTTCACTCAGTCCCACACCCCCACCAACCCCACACACACCCAGCTGGAGCCAGTGGACCTGTCTGTCAGCAAACGTTCCTCCTCCACCTCCTCTTCCTCCTCCCCTCCCTGCTCCTCCGCCTCCTCCCCGGCCTCCTCACGCAGCTCCCCGCCTTCCCCCTACAGCTCAGCGAGTCGTGCCTCCCCGCGCTGCTCCCCCCCACACTCCCAGCTGCGCTCCTCGCCCTCCCATGCTCTCCCGCCTCCCACTCCCTCACTTACTTACCCCACCATGGTGGGTCCTCTGATCGGCTCGGGATCCGGAGTCATCCAGGGGTCGGGGGTCATGGTGTCTCCAGTCATGGTGCCTCTGTCTGTCCTCTACCCCTCGCCTCTCCACCTGCATCAGCCCATAATGGTGAGCCCACCTGTCGCCAGTGACGACGACCATCATCGAAGCAGGGAGCACAAGTCAGGTGAAGCTTCATTCATTGTTTTAATTTAATTCAGCTTCTATTTTTAAAGTTGATTTGAGCTTTATTAACATGATATACTGTATGTGTTGCTAATAATTAAAAAAACAAAACAGGAAGGATCATGACAGTTATACATCAGTGTACAACTGCAGGCTTCATCTTTCTCCAAATAAGAGTAACAGCTCAATGAGGAAGTTTTCATTTCCTCTGTTTTCAGAATATCAGTTTCAGCAGATTCTTGTTTCTTAGGAAAGCTTTATTTCCAATTTGTTCTGTTTTCTGGGGTCAAATGAAGGTCTCTGTGATTCACAGAGGTCACCATCTCTGAGTCTCCTACATCTGATACAAACAGACAATGACAAAATACATATGCCCTTCCCTAGAAGCACTTCTGTTGTAGCATCAAAACAATCCAAAACATGTTGTTAGCATGACTAAATATGTTTTCATATCTGAAATTTAAAAAAAAAAATGAAAAAATTTGAATTTCCCAGCTGAGGCCTTGTTTTGTCACCTTAATTTGACATATAAAATATTAACAGTGTGTTAAAGGAATACTTTTTTTAAAAGGGGTTGTATGAGGTACTGATTTAGTCAGTGTATTACACACAGTAGATGTCAGTCAGCCTCCCCCCAGTATGGAGAAGCAGGCTTAAGTCCATCACAGAAGCTAAACAGTGCACTGCTGTGGAGGGGTCAGCAACAAAATGTACTAAAGCCACCTCAAAAAATCAGTTTAAGTGTACACTATATTTAGAATTTTTTTGTTGTCAGGCAGTGATTTCTAATTGGGACCTGAAGCCGTTATATCACTCTCTTGAAAGCAAGACTCCATTGAGGCAAACAGAAATTGCTGAAACAGGAGCTGCTAGTCTACCGCTGCCTCGATCAGTTATAGTGTGTTATAGTGTGTTATAGTGACTTTGGTGTTCAAAAGAGTTTGTTAGCAGTCACAAAAGTCACATAATAACAAAAACAAACTTACTGGGGTAAACCAACAGCTCCTGTGTTCAGTGAGCCAAAATTACTGTTTTTGTCAATGGAGTGTGGTGGCTTTGATGAGAGCATAGGTGGGGACGTTAATGGTTTCCCTGTTGGAATGGACTGTCTGACAGATAGTGGTAAAAATGGGATTTTTTTAAGGTGGCTAAAAAACGTTTTGCTGCTTCCTCAGTCCACAGCAGTACATTGCTTAGCTCTCATTTCAGTACTCCAGTCTGCTTCTCCAAACTGGGGGTGAGCCGACTGACACCTATTGTATGTAATATACTGACTTTGAGTAAGTACCTCATACAACCCCACTTCAGAAAATCCATACTATACCTTTAATGTGAATGAATCCTGACCATGCCGCAGCACTGACCATACTGACCAGTAATTTCTATCTACCCAGTTCACTGTGGCGATGCCCACGACCTGCACAAGCCAATCAAAACAGAGCCTCGCTCGGAGCTCGCTCATGACCTCGACAGGAGCCACGAGATGAAATCATCAGTCATCAGGATACCACACGAATACGGGTGAGAACACTCATACAGATTTTGAAAGAAGCACCAGAAGTTTCATAAGTTTCACTGTCTGCTGCGGCGCTTCCCCTTTAACTTTATATGGAAGTCATTTTCAGAGGCTTTGACCGGATCCTGCTCTGTTCCTGTTGTGATCTCTTTAAAATTAAGCTGCAGCCCCAAGACTGTGGGGCTGGGTGTTGTTTGATGTATGATTTTGATGATACAATTTTGTAGTGAAATTATTATCACCCAAAAAATGATTTAATTGTGCTCAGTACATTTATTTGCTTGAATCCACATAAGCACAGAAAAATAACTTCTCACATTCAGTTTTACTCATGTGCCCTCTCTCAAACTCCCTGCTTTGTATGCCTTGATTCGCACATTCTCTCAACATTACAAAAAAATCTTTACAAATTACAGAGATAACACAGGGCCAATAACACAGTGACTGTCATGGCCGACACATGAACACACAACACACTGACTCTACTGTATGTTGGGTGTGTCAGATTTCCTCATTCCTATGTGGCACCTTTTATTAGCTTATTTCCAGTCTTGTCCATCAGCCACACTTCTCATTACGGCTCCTTCTCTTATCACATTCTCGTCGGCCGCACACGCTCATATCAGCCATCTTGATCTTGTCACCCTCCTCCTCTCTTCCCATCTCTCCTTTCCTTCTCCTCCCCTCCTTCCCTCCTCACTCAGCACTTCCTGTATATTGTAGCGCTCATTGTCCGGCATCTCCCACTCCTTCTTTCCTTCCTGCTTCCTCCTCCTCCCCCTCCTCACCTCTCGTCGTCATCTGTTTTCGTTCCCAGAGGTTCTTCTTGTACAGAATAACGGCTTTTACCTCAGAGGAGTAATTGCATGTTGGTTACACGTGTAATAGTCAGGGAATGCTGCCAGTTAGTTCTTGCTCGTGTGTGAATGGAGTGTATTATCTTGCCCTCCGCCCCGTCCTTTACTGTAGTTGTCAGGGCGGTACCCATCACAGGCTGTCGTTACCCTTGATGACTGAAATAATTGGACCCTAAGAAAAAAGAAGTGGTGTGGGTTTATCTGTCATCACCTCTTTTCTCAAAACACAAGAACAATGTAAATATACTGTAAGTATTCAGGAACGAGGTCAAGTTTGCTTAGCGTCTCGATGTGTATAATAATGATGGGTTAGCCTAAGTGTGTGTGTGTGTGTGTGTGTGTGTGTATGTGTGCATGTGTCGCAGGGGACTTTCTGCACATTCCTTTACGCAGAACTGATCTGTGAGGGATTCATATTTCAACACTCGACACCTGCTCTCAACTGCCACTTACACACACTCACACACGCACATACACACACCCCTACACACACACACACACACATTAATGATGTGCGAAAAGACAGCTTTTTTTTGACTGTTAAGTATTTGAAATTTTTGCTTTTCTACTCTATTCTCTTCTATTCTTTTGTATTCTACTTAATTATTCTTTGACTTGAATGTACTTTTGCAGAGAGAAAACAAAGCTCACACACACACACACACACACACACACTAGGCGCGCAGTATTAGAAACCTTATCTTCTTGGGCTCATTGTTGTTGGGTATGAGTTCGGAAAGTGTGTTGCAAAGTTGAATCTACTATTTCATACTTTTTGGTCTTCTAGAACTTGTTTGTATTATTTTCTGCTGGATGTCATCAGATTCCAGCGACTAAGTCGTTGAATGGTTAAATGAAAACATGAGAGAGGTGACAGGACAAAGCAAAGGCGTGGCACACTGGAAAAAGGCGGGAGGTGTTTTTCAACTTCCTGACTGGTAGAAGTTGTTATTGCATTGCAGAGTCACTGCAACCAAATTTAACTTGCATTAGATTTCAACACCATGAAGGAGGCGGCTGTAGTGTGACACTACCTCCCTCTCCTGGTCAAATCACATGAAGCAATGAAATCTAATAAATGCTCTCCTCTCTGTGTCTCTCTCAGGGGTAACAACCCATCAGTAATAGTCCATTCAGGTGCAAAGCATCCTCTCCCCGCTGAGTCTCCGGACACACTGAAAAAGCGTCGAATTCACCGCTGTGACTTCAGTGGCTGCAACAAAGTGTACACTAAGAGCTCCCACCTCAAAGCACACCGCAGGACACACACCGGTAAGAGTCCTGATTCGCACACAAGCTTTACTTCTTTTTTAACCTATCACAAGCATTTTCACTTAGGGAATGTTCTTTACTTATTAGAGGAGGAGGATGGCTGGAGTTTGACTTTGTTTTTTGTTTTGGTTTATTTATGTATTTATTTTTTTCAATCTTGACCTTCCCTGAATATTTTTACTTTAGCCTCCCTGAGTGACGGGGGAAAATATGTGACACTCATAGATAGATAGATAGATAGATAGATAGATAGATAGATAGATTTTTTTTTTAAATATTTATACCAAATGTAGATATTGGAGTCAATGCAACAAGCAAGTGAGTGAGAGTTATCACCAACACAAACAGCTAAATTCTCAAACAAAATGCTGATCCTCTTTACAAATCGTATCGTTACACAAGCTGCCTGACCTGGTTCTACCACACAAATCCAGCAAAAATTAAAAAGGGTGCACATCACACATATGCATGCACACACACTATAGTGCACATAGCTAGCACAAACCACAAACCAGTCAGTGACGTCATATTTTACAGTCTGTGATTTTGATCAAATTTTAGTATTTTAAGCTCAATTTGTTTTTTTGTTTTTTTTGTTTTTTTCCCCTGATGGAATCCTAGTTGCACATGCTGTGTTCAAGAATCATCAGAAATTTGATAATCCAATGACAATTTTTGCCCCTACAGTTTCTGGCTATGATGAATGTGTACTACTGATTTTTTCAAAGAAAACTACCTCTCAAACCAGCTGGTGAGCCTTGGGGTTCAGAGGGTGTTAAAATAATTACAAAAAACAACCAGTTAAAGTTGCTTATCACTTCTCTCAGCCAAAATAAAAGCACAAATCCTTCCCCAGTGTTTCAAAAAATTGTTTGACATGCCATCCCCATTTTGCACCACCCCTTCTACCCTCATAAATAACTAACAGTCCCTTGTCTTTTTTATTCTCTGTATGTACAGGTGAGAAACCCTACAAGTGCATGTGGGAAGGCTGCACGTGGAAGTTTGCCCGTTCAGACGAGCTGACGAGACACTTCCGCAAGCACACAGGAGTCAAACCATTCCAGTGCCCCGACTGTGAACGCAGCTTCTCCCGCTCTGACCACCTGGCTTTGCACAAGAAACGCCACCTCCTGGTGTGAAACCATCCACCCGGGCAGCTTGAAAGTAACTTGGTGCTGCGTTATACATTGGACTGTACCACTTTGACTTGAGGGGGGGACTTTAAAAGAGCTGGCCTTACACGTTGGACTTCGACAGGGAGTGGGGAAATGTTCCTCAGGGTGCAAGTTTAGACTTTTTCACCTCATTAGCCTGAATATGAGCTGGTGTCAGCCTATTAGTCATCTAACACCATCTTGTTTGCAGATATATCATCAGCTCATTTTGACATAATAATAGAAATAAGGTTGTTGCACCACACCTCTGATCAGCTGTGGAAGGTCCAGACACTTTTTTAAGAAAGAGGCTGCAGCATCTCAGCTGGCCTGAGAGCAGCGCCCTCCTCTGTCCACGGAACCAAACAGCAGTGACACCCGCTCATGTGGCATGCTCAAGCTTCTCTTTGCAACATCAGCTCTCATTTCTCTGCATGCATTCAAGTAAAGATTATGGACTTAAACTTACACACGTTATTTGCTAGCTAGGCCAATATAATGTGAAACTTTCCAGAATGTATCGTATCACACCTACTGTGCATCGTGTCATACATCAGCTTTCTCTCATCAGCGCAGCTACCTGTGACATAACGCTAACTCCACCTTCATGGACCGCCACATTTAAACACCACACACCTCATCTGCCTCTACAAGCTTACATCATGAAGTGACTTTACAAAAAAAACAACACAACAGGTAGCTAATGCTTGCTTTTTAATGTACATATATGCACACGTTTAACGGCACACACAGCAAGAAAACATGCACTTAAAAAAGCAGCCTCGGTCTGGTGTGCTTTTGGTATTTGGGTTGAAAACAAAGTGGGGACTGTGGGTCTCGATCATTGTTGGAGTGAAGTGTTTTTTATGTTTTCATTCAGAAATGTGAAAGTTGCTGCATAGGGGCATTATTGTGTCAGTGAGGAAAAGACACCACTCGGTTGGTTTAAGGGTTGAAGCAATGAAATGTCTCATGTCTTATATCAAGTTTATGTATCTATATGAACTAATGGCTGGTTTGTGATGTGACACCATGGTAGCCTTTTTTATTGTATGACACTTTTATATGGGACAAATACAAAGTGCAAAGCAGGGACATTTGCTCTTTGATTTTTGTTTATTAGGAGCAGATGGGTTTTTATTCCAGCCCGCTACATAGGATATATCATATAAACGAAAGTAACATTTAATTCAATAGTTTTCTAAATCGAAGGTCATAAGATATATTCTTCTACTACACCATCAAATTTTTCACACCATCACAACTTTAGAGCACAAGTTTGTTTTTACAGCTTCTGGAGAACAAAGTAGTTTTGTTTATAGTGTCTTTGTACATGCCTCCAATGTGCACTTTATAAAACATTCCCAAAGCCAAATATTTTCTAATCACATCAGTTTTTTCTATTCATACATCTGCTGGTCAGTTTGATCGGAAAAATACAACAGGTGTCTTGTCATTTTCCAGTCATGTAATACCAGAGGAAAGTGTGACTCTTTCGTTTATTTACATGTGTACACACACAAACACATACCGAATGTAGCGGCTCAACTGATCTGCATCTTGCCCCTGGATTCTCTTTGCCTTTTTTTGCTTGTACATGTTTTTTGTATTTCTGCAAATATAAGTTGTAATATATATATATATATTTTATAATTGATTATTAGACTGAAAGGGCAATTAAAGGTTTTTTTTTATTAAGCATGATATTATGATACTCTCATAATAATGGATATTATACATTTCTATAATGTCGTGTCTATAATAAACCCTATCTCTTTTTAATCTAAACGTTGGCAATTCAAAGGGAACATGTTAAACTGTGAACATATAACTGTACAGGTTCTGCAATTTTGCATTTATTTTAAGACAGAATATTCATACCACTTAATAAACTTATTGATAATATTTGCAGAATGGAGTGCTGTGCCTTATTTATGTGTGTATTTGTGCTGAAACTGTTGATAGAGGTGTTTGTAGAGTAGCTGAATGACAGAAGATTTTTAATTTAATCATTTTAGTTATTTATCACAAAAAATGCCAAACATTTGCTAGCACAAGTTTCTCAAATTTGGATACTTCCTATTTTTTCAGGTTCATACCACTATAAATTTAATATTTATATTTGTTTTTTTCACTAACTTCAACAGCAGCTTATTTAAAGTGCTAAAAAAAAACTTATTTGAGTCTTGATCCCAGATGCACCATAAGAGCTAAAAAAAGACATAGAAATATTATACTGGTAATCCATGGTCTCAGCACACTTTACAGGTCTTAAACAGACAAACATGGAAATCACGAATATGACTGCCATAATGGATCGGCTGAGGCCCGGGTTGCTGTTGACCTACAGGGTGCCAGTGGAAATTGGACTAATGTTAGTCGAAAAAGGAGAGAAGAAGGGCATGTCCGTAGTAGGAGAGAAGAGGAAAGGCAAGAGTCTAGAACTACACTAAGACTAGGGACTCTGAATATTGGGACTATGACAGGGAATGCTAGAGAGTTGGCTGACATGATGCAGAGGAGGAAGGTGGAAGGTGGCACATCTTGTGTAGACAATGTAATCTGAAGGAGATCAGTGACTGCAAAGTTGTGGCAGATGAGAGTGTAGCCAGACAGCATAGGATGGTGGTGTGTAGCATGACTCTGGTCGTAAGGAAGATGAAGAGGACAAAGGCAGAGCAGATGACAAAGTGGTGGAAGCTGAAAAAGAAAGAGGGTTGTGTAGTTTTCAGGGAGGAGTTGAGACAGGCTCAGTGACTGGACAACTACAGCTAATGTTATCAGAGAGACAGGTAGGAGAGTACTTGGTGTGTCATATGGAAGGAAAGGAGCTAAGGAGACCTGGTGGAAGGAAAGGAGATAAGGAGACCTGGTGGAATGAGGAAGTGCAAGAGTGTATACAGAGAACGAGGTTAGCTAAGAAGAAGTGGGACAATGAGAGGACTGAAGAGAGTAGACAGGAGTACAGGGAGATTCAGTGTAAGGTGAAGGTAGAGGTGACAAAGGCCAAACAAAGGGCGTATGATGACTTGTATGATAGGTTGGACAGTAAGGAGGGAGAGACTGATTTATACAGGTTGGCAAGGCAGAGAGATAGAGATGGGAAGGACGTGCAGCAGGTTCAGGTGATTAAGGATAGAGATGGGAATGTATTGACAGGTGCCACAAGTGTGACGGGAAGATGGAAAGAGTACTTTGAAGAGGTGATGAATGAGGAAAATGAGAGAGAACAAAGAGTAAAAGAGGTGACCATTGTGGAGCAGGAAGTAACAAAGATTAGTAAGGATGAAGTGATTGAAAGATGAGGTTAGACAGGAATCTCCATGGACTATGATGTTTGCAGATGACATTGTGATCTGTAGCAGGGGCGAAAATCCCATTTCATAGTTGGGGGGACAATAAACAAGGAAAAAAAAGTTGTAGCCTGTCTTTTATACAGCATCTTTTACCGCAATTTGACGCTTTAATCTTCTCTCTATCTCTCCAACAGGCAGAGTGAATGTCTATACTTATGAGAAATGGCTTAACAACTAAAGATTTCCTGCAATTAAACTGGTAAACTGGTTTATAAACAGGGTGCTGTGAGATCTGCCGCTGCGCACCTCACAACCGTGCATAATAGTCGTGCATAATGACCGCTCGTCGTCGGTTAAACTGCACATCTTTCATGTTTGTCTCACTGACAGGTGGAGAGCCTACAGACAGGTACCCATTAGCTATGAGCCGCTCCATCACTGACTGCTCTTGTTCTGTCCTCTCCCTCTTCTTGCTCTCCTGTCCTCTCTGACTATCACTAAACTCTGGCTTTTGAACAATACAGGAGAAATGTTGCAGACAGTTTATATTATCAGCCTGGGCCTGGGGCTTGTTGTAACAGTAAATGGGATGTGTTGTAACATGTGTAAGTTAAACTGTGTCTGTGTGAGTGTACATCTTACCCTGCGATGTGCGATGTGGGCAGCGGGTCCAGCCATACGCCCCGCCCGTTGGAAAGAGTGTGGGATATACCACTACTAGGAATGGGAGGGGGGGACTAAATCTTTTAAGATTTAAATAGCACATTATTGTGCGATTACAATGAGCACCGCTTACATTGTGCTTTCAATAAATACTACTGCATTGTTCAAAAATTATCAATTGTGTCTCAAATTATTCTAGGGGGGGACAGCTTTACTGAAGGGGGAGTCATGTCCCCCCGGACTGAGATGGTTTGGGCATGTTCAGAGGAGGGACAGTGAATATATTGGTAGAAGGATGCTGAGGTTGGGACTACCCAAGACCAAAGAGGAGATTTATGGATGTTGTGAAAGAGGACATGAAGTCAGTTGGTGTGAGAGAAGAGGATGTGGAGGATAGAGTTAGATGGATAGATTTGCTGTGGCGACCCCTAAAGGGAACAGCCGAAAGAGGAAGAAGACTCACACAGACACACATTCTGTCAAAGTTCAGTCAGTATTTGTGAACATGAGTGACTCTCTCTTGAAGCCAGAAACTAAAGTCTCAAACTTATGATGTCATCAAGAATAAAGTCTGAAGCTACTTCGTAGACAATGAATGGGAGACTGATTGTGTGGACCCACAGAATGTTTGTCTTTTTTATACCCAAGTGAGTTTTATTCTGTCTTTGTTCTTAGTTCTGAAACAGAACATTCACCTGGGTGCTCTGAGTGTCATCTACAACATCTTTCATAATTCATTGTCTGTGGAGCAGCTCCAGACTTTATACCCTATGACATATCATTTTTTACTTTTAACACCCTAGGTTTTGGATTTGGGAGAAAGTTGTTAATGTTAAATATTATTTTTGGACCATCTTAGACTTATAAATATCTTGTATGAATTTTGAAAGTGGGTGTAGTTTCCCTTAAACATTGTACAACATGTAGGCTTTGTATGTGCTTATGATATGTGGTTATCAATGAACAGCATTATAAGGCTTCACATGTGTATCATAACACAATGATTTGTATTATGTTATCAGTATCTAGCCAAATAGCAATTTGAGATATGAGCAACTTATACTCCTACTGTTTGCCTTGTTTATAGGTTTGGCATTGTGTTTATTTTTGACATCTATTCAACGATATTTTATGTTTCTCTTTGCACTCTTCTATTTTGTACTACCATTGCTTACCTCATCAACCTCACTTCCTAATAAGAAAATATGGGCTCGTCCGGGATTTGAACCCGGGACCTCTCGCACCCTAAGCGAGAATCATACCCCTAGACCAACGAGCCACTGTGATACAAAGGGAAAATATACTGTATAAAAAGTTTGACTATGCACGCAATGATGGCTCTTTTGACGGCTTTTTTTTTATGGTTGGGTACGATAATACTTATTGTTTAGCTTTTTGACACGAAATTCACCGATGCAGAGACAAAACAGCCGTATTTTCGACTCAAATATAAGTATCCAGGCGAAACGAGATGGTTCCCTCTTTCCCACTTCCGACTTCGTTTAGGACCGCCTCACCCCGTTATTTCACAGGGAGGTAAGCAGCAGCGATACATTTCCCTTGTTTAGGCAGAAAAATGGCAACATAGGGAAAACAGATGTCATAATAGGATCCCATAGACTGTTTTAAACCGTGTTTTAATTTGTGAAACATTTAAAAACTGCATGTAACAATAACGGATATAAAGTGGCTGTTTCTGTTTAGCATTGTGTTTAATTAGCTTGTGTGTGCGAGCGAGTTGAATGACTGTGAGTAGCTGTTAGTCATGGATATTAAATACTTACTGTCTTGACTATGCGAGAGAATTTGCAAACCAGTAGACAACAGTTGTTCATGAGGCAGTGAATTATCTTGTCTGTCGGTACTCTTCGGTGCAGTCACCTACCGGCCTGCCGACGTGGCGGGGCGGAAGAGGAGCCGCTGGCTGGCACCGAACGGGTGAGCTGCACTGTCACTTTCACAAAAACAAAACTGTCTTTGAGCTTTATAACTTTCCTTCGCCCGAAACAACCGAATGACGCTAATGTGCAACAAAAGTGGCGTTTAAGTTTCTTGAATTTGTTTCACTGTTGAGAATTTGTTTTGTGTTACTCGTTAAAAAGACCATGAACATGCGAATAATAGCCCAATTGTCATATTCGCTTTCAAACAGAACAGTGGTCTTTGCTCAGTTTCTGCTGGATATTGTTCTATATGTTGTCATTGTGTAATAATGTGTAGAAATAGTGTTACGAGTAGCAGAGGAGGCTTTGACATGTTGATGTCATCAATATGAAATGGCTGTTTTCATGATAATCAGTTTGAAAAAACAGTAACTATAATCTGATCTGTACAGCCTGTGTCAACAGTTTATGGATGAAGTACTATATTTTAATTCTTACTACTCTAGATAAAAAAGAAAACGTTTTCATATTTTAATTACTGTGCTTTGTTTTGCAGGTTGTAGTCTGTTTGTTATGGACAAACGTATTTTAGTGTTGTGTACCGGTTTATTAATCATCTTGTGCAAACAGTTTGTGAGAGATAACGTTGTGCTAAGGGACATTTTGCTGCCAGTAAAACAAACTTCAGTGTTTGACAACATGGGGATGACAGTAATGATGTGGACGCATGTACAGCTAGTGACCACTAGATGGTAATGTTGAACCAATTATGTGCTTAATCACAGTGATTAATTTGCACAATGTTTCAGTGTTGTATACAAACTATTCCGACCATAAAATCTTCACATAGCATGTATCAGGCAGGCCTCACATTGTTTATGTTCATCGTGTCATTTTAATTACAGTCGCAGCTTATACAGAAATTATGCAAACTTTCATTAAAACATTTTTCAAGTTATCCACTTGAGTATACTGTATTAGTGTAAATATAAATCATGTACTGTAGAGTGTGACTTCACACTACGGTGAAGGTTATATTCATCCAAGAAAAAAAAAATGTAATAGTTGCATTACTTAATTGCACTGTTCTGAGTCTACCATAAAGTTTGTGTTTTTATCAACCAACAAACATTAGATATTTTACTATGTTGGAATGCATGATACACAACTCCAATGCGCATTTTAAAATTAAAAATAAGCAAAGAAATACAGGATAGTGGTGAAAGGGTTTAACAATGATGTTGCAATAATGGTCCCCTGGATAATGCTGTTAAAATAAGGATTCATGTTTGCAAATAGGCGTGGGCGGTATCAAGGTATTGTGGTATACCAGGGTATATAGAAATCCTGAAGGTATGATTTTCAGTACAGTCAAAAATACAAGTACGTCTCTTTCCATTAACTGATACGGAGATGCTGTATTAAGGCGATTTACTGTAGAGCACAACACGCACCACTAGAGGTGAGTCTCTACTGGCAGAACAGGCAGTTGAGCTAACAAACACAGGGACTACGAATGGTGGGGATAACATTGCAGGACTAGTAGAAAAGAATAATGCCTCTACCCCTGTTAAGGAGTATGGCCATGTATAACTTTATCTTGATATGAGTTCTTCCGACTACAACAGCAGTTTATTAGCCGCATGATTTTATTCAACACATCGTTTCTATTCAGCCCACTGATGTGTCGGTATCTGCTGCAGCAACAAGTGTCATTGTGTCCTCCAGTAAGACATTTGCTTATTTCTTATCTACTCATTATTCTATGGGCTGTAAGTATTTAAACCCTGCAAGTCCTGTCTAAGTAGGCTAATTGCATAATAGAATCAGAGCTTCGTAGGATAGATGTACGATGACTTTCATCGCTCGTAACTCAGCACTCAACTTCACGTTTTTTGTTGTTGTTGTTGTTTTTCACACATATACCATCAGATATTTCAGGAGGGTATGAAGGTATGACAAAATAGATACTGCCCAACCCTATTTGCAAACACATTGAATTGATCTAGTGATCTGGGTGTCTTAAGCATTTGGACTTTGTGCTAATATGTGAGGTGTCTGAGCATGTGATTTAGTGTTTTGCTGTTTGCATTTAAGGACAGATTTTTGTGTTAAGAAGAGTTAAGAATTTAGCAAGCCAGTTTCATTTCAGGTCAGTATTTCTTGACACATTAGGGAGCAAATGATTAATGGACAGATTAATCGAGTATGAAAATAATTATTAGATGCACCACTAATTGAAATTCTGGTGTGGAAATTGGACCAAAGCCACCAGACGAAAACTGAGGTGGTTTATAATCTTCACACACAACAACCGGTATTCGCAGAGACAAAATATTGAAAACGAAATTTCCCAAATAAAAGCATCTGTTTGTTCCTTGTAAGTTTAAATGTATGTGTTGTAAATGCAAGCAGTGTTCAGGATACAAAGATTAATAAAGAAGCACACATCAGCACTTTGACAACGAAAACCACTAAAATCAAAGATCTCCTGTCTTCCAGATCACCATGTCCCAGGCTGATGTAGACCCCTCTGCTGACCTCACCCCTCCACCCACCCAGCCCCCTCACACTGACCCTGGCTGCTGTCAGGATGTCCCAGCAGCCTTTTCACCGCCCTTAGCCCCTCTGCAGCCTCCTTTGGCCCCTGACAGCTTCGACCTCCCACAATCCACCGCCGAGGCAACGACCACAGAGGACACCGCTGCCATGACTAACGTTTCAGAGGGTCCGGCTGACCAACCAGAGCCTGCGGCTGAGGGTCAGGTGGTCATATGTGACCAACCAGTGAGCCTGGAGCCAGACCCAGAGGCTGCAGAGGAGGACGTGGAGGTTTGTAAGACTAGTTTCTGCAGTGTCTTGACATACATGCGCACTCAAACCTGTCTAATTCTGGATTTTTTAGGCTAAAACCAAATTTGATATGTAGGAGTTTAGAACTGTGACAGTTATATGTTATTATTCAATAACTTTTTTTTTACATAAACCCATAACCTAAACATTAATGGTCCAGTGTGTAGGATGTAGTGAGGTTGCAGATTGCAACCAATTAAAACTTGTCCCGTGTGTCAAGCATGAAGAAACATGAATGGCCCTATCTAGAGCCAGTGCTTAGTTTTTCCTCTCTGGACTACTATAGAAACAACACCTGCTCCACATGTAGATATACAGCTCATTTTAAGGTAACAAAGGCACAATGATCCTTAGTTTCAGATGATTGTACACTAATGAAAACAGCTTAATTTATATTCCATTTCTGCCAGTAGTTCCCCCTATATCCTACGCACTGGAGCTTTAAATGAGCTTTTTTAAAGAATTGTGACCATGTGTCAAGTGGGACATTTTATAATTAAAAAAATGAACTTGTCACTGCTCTCTGAAGGACAAACTGTGTGATGATGATTCTGTTTCTAAATGATCCAAATATAAGTTTGGCATTTCTGTGCTGCAGTTTCTTATTACAGATCAGTTATATTCATTGATATGATTTATCTACAATATGCTAATATTGACTAATACATCAGCCTGGGCGATTTATCAGTGTAATGTTTTGTCCCTATTCCACTGAACTTAATTATCTTAATTCATCTATGTCTAGACTTTGATCTAGTTTTCTTTAGAGTCAGTTTTAAAATAGATCACTGCTTAAATCATTTTTCCAGCACAAGTGCTAAAAATCTTCTGTGGTCAACACCTGTTGTTTTTTTAATGTTAGCTATAAATACATTTGATCTGACTTGACTAGTTTCAATTGAGAGATGTTCCCTGAGGCTATGGGGAACTGTGATTGTTGTTTGTCCCTGCTTTCTTGCATTTTATAGACCAATGCATTAATGCATCATCAAAGTAATTGTTAATTGACTTCAACCTTTGAGGCTGGTAGATACAAGTTTTAACTTATGTGCTGTATTTACAGATATTCTAAAAATAATGCAGACTAAGAAAAGGTTTTCTATCTATTACTGTGATGTGTATTTGTGTGTACAGGGGTCACTTCAAGAGAAAGAAAAAGGTTGGGGAGGTTGGAGTTCATGGGGAAAATCTATCCTGAGCAGTGCCACCTCCACAGTGGGTATGTCCTCGTTTTTCTTGTCCTTACCACTTTGCACACTCTCTTTATGATCTCCTCAGTCTTAAATGTTGTGTCTGTGTGCAGGTCATAGCCTGACCTCAGTTAAAGCGAAGGCAGGAGAAGCTCTGCGTCTCCACAGGACCTCAGTAGGAGAGGAGGCGCAAGAAGAGGAGGAAGGGGGAGCTGAGGAGGAGAAGAAAGAGGGAGGAGGTGAAAGTGGAGAGACTGACCTGTCCAGCTCTGGGGAGTCTCCTGTTAATGCTGCAGCTCCCGGCAGGGGCGTCTTCTCTACGATCACACACGCCGTGCAGAACACAGTGAGTGAACACACAAAGAATGAAGGTGGGTTTGGTCTGGAAAAAAAATATAGAAATGTGAAAAGAGTATAGTTTTATTTTTATTTCCTGGAACTACGTCTGAAAAAGTGGGGTCCTCTTACATGTTAGGTCTAAACTTATTAATGTCAATACTTTGTGATTAAATTTTTTGACTTTAGGGGCGTTGGTAGCATAGCAGATAGTGCCGGCGTCCCATGTACAGAGGCAATGCCTCACTGCAGCGGTTGCAGGTTCGATTCCGGCCTGCAACCCTTTGCTGCGTGTCATCTCCCCACTCTCTCTCCCTCCCCATTCCACACTGTCCTGTCAATTAAAGGGAAAAAGCCCAAAAATTAGTCTTTAAAAAAAAAAAAAAAAAAAAAAATTCTGACTTTAAACGTAAAAATGATGAGACAGTAAGTCAACATTTAAATTCTAAATTAAAGTGGAAACAGACAACTTTTCAACTTTTCCCCCTCTAGCCTTTCCAAGTGGTGTTATTGTTGGTGTCGCTGTCGCAAAGACAACCGGATTGGTTTGTTTTCCTCAGAGCCTAGCAACTACTAGCTTCCACAGTTATTGCGGTTGTTCCATCGACCATCATTTCCAGTACTGTGGATAGTGCCTGCAAAGAACTTAGTAATTGGGGTTAGCTACAACAAAAGCACTATCCCCTATCTCCCTAACACCACTATCTGAATGGCAATGGTGTAGTTTTTCTATCGCCATTACACTGTGCAGTCACATTTACTTCATAAGTATCATTTAAAAAATTTAAACACTCCCTATTTCCACTTTAAAATTATGAGGCAGAAGTCAATTTTTTCCCCTTTTGTTGTGTTTTATGGGTCTTATTTTCAGACCAGTACAGCACTACCTAATTTATGGCTCAGTGTTACACACTTTTGCTTTAGTATATAATGATTTTGACTTATTAAGTCAGAATTTTGACTTAATTATTACGGTAAAACTTAAATTAAAAGTCTAGTCACAATTAAATGCCCAGTCACTTTTACTAGCCCGGTGTGGCTACACATTTTGACAAATAAACACCTGTCTTAATTAGACGCCTGGTCTGGTTTTCAAGCAGTTCATTTAAAAAAAAAAAAAGAAAAAAGAAGGCCTTGGAATGTATAAAACGGGGTTGTTGGCTACCTAAAAGTATATATCCATTCCTCGATTATCCTGTAAGTTATTCATATTCAAAATTTAACTTAGTTCGTCATGATCTTGATTTATTATTCCATAATGGTTTCTAAGGCAAAAGTATGTCATCAGGTCATGATATAATTTTGCCTCTGTATCTAATAATTTTACTTAGTAAGTCATTTAGACTTAGTATCATATTGTAATTTACAGGAAGTATTTTTATTTTTTATCATTCCTAACTTTTTCAGTAATTTCCGTCTCTCCATATGCTTCTCTCCTGGGGTCTCTCTCTGTCATCAGGGTAAGTCTGTGATCACTGGAGGTTTGGATGCCTTGGAGTTCATTGGAAAGAAGACCATGACCGTTCTTGCTGAGAGTGACCCAGGTTTCAAAAAGACCAAGACCCTGATGCAGAAGACTGCATCACTGAGTCAGGCATGTAGACACACTCTCAGAGCTCTCTCTCTCTCTCTCTCTCCCACACACACACACACACACACACACACACCAATATGTCCCCGCCTATCAGATGAATAATGAATTGTGTGTGTCTGCGTGGATGGAATGATTTGGTGATTTTCATTCCTCTAAAGTGACAGCTCTGCAGCAGTGTTACATTAAGGTTTGACTCTGTGTGTTCACCATTTTTACAGATGTTAAAGGAAGCCAAAGAGAAAGAGCGGGCACGTCTCAGCACCCAGCCAATCAGTGCACCCACAGCTCACTACACTATTCTGTTTGACGACTACCAGGGCTTGTCCCACCTCGAGGCCCTGGAGATCCTGTCCAATGAGAGCGAGGCCAAGGTAAGGCACAAGTGTGGAATGTAGAATACAAGGTATTTCTCAGAAACAGTCTTTCTGGAGTCGTATAATCTATATCTGCTCTTAGGTCCAAGCCTTCCTCTCCTCCCTGGAGGAAGAGGAGCAGGAGGAGGTGAAGAAGGAGCTGATTTTCATTAAGAACATCTTCATCAAGCAAGAGGAAGAAGAGGAAGGAGAGAAAGAGGAAAAAGAAGAAGAGGGAGAACAGACGAAGGATAACGGTGATCTAAGTTCCCAATTACAGTGTTCTACCCCCCTATGTGAGTGACCCAAACCAACCGCCAGACCTGCTGGAGGTAGAGGCGGTCCCTGAGCACTGACCCAGGATCAGTTGACCTAGTGCACATTTTCTGCTCGAACTCTGGCTAAGAGACATAAGTTCTGACATTAGATCTGAAGTTTAGGATCAGCACTGATTTTTCACTTTGGTTGAATTTTCCATAAGTGCAAAATTGCATGAGAATATAATTGTTGTTAAGGTCCATTTCCCAAAGCATATGAAGAATTTTTGAATATATTTTCTATCTTCCAGGCTGTCAGTCCTTGTCACATCTAACAGGCTTAACATCACCATCCATCACATTGAAGAATTATAATCGTTTTATGTCCTAGTAGTGCCAGACATGCTTTTGAAATCTTTTCCTCACAGGAGCGTTCAAGCCAAGAATGTAAGAGTGTCTCTGATATTTTTTTAACCTGGACCCTATTTTTCAATGTTTTTAGTTACTAATGCGCACAGCAGTTTTTGAAATTGGTCCAGTATTTAGCAAGAGCACTGCAGCCCGCGGTCACAGCACAGGCTGACAGTATTATGCACTGTCAAAGTGTTTGTATTTGCCACTGACAGGCTCAGATTATTATTTTAAGTGTCTGACAACATTATGGAAATGATCCCTACAGGGATAAACCGTTTTGTTAAGGTGTGAGATCCTCTTTGCTTAACCAGAAACAGCTGTGAAATCACTCTCACCAAACCCACCAGACTCCATTTAATTAAATAGTAATTTTTATCATAGTAAAAAACACTTAATTGAAAGTCAGAGAAAATAATTTCACAAAAACTGTCATGGTTCATCTTTCTACTGTTCCAACAATCATCAACTCTGGTTTGGTTGAAATAAACCCTCAATTCACACAGTTAGATATGAAAAGGTGCCTGCTCTATGCATGCAAAATTTACTGTTTATTTAAAATGGAGTCTGGAGGGTTTGGCAATAGCGATTTTGTGGCTGTTTCTGGTTAAACAAAGAGGATCTTACTCTTTAGGGATCCTTTTACATACTGTTGGCAAACACATACTGTATAATAATAATATGAGTCTGTTGGTGCCATAACAAGCACCTTCAGTGAATATAAATTGCTGCATAATTGCCCTGACTGGTTACGTTGCAGCCTGTTATGTGGCTGTCAGCTGCAGTGGTCTCGCTCAATACTGAGACATTTTCAAAAAATGTGATGCCTGTGGTCACTTACACACAAAAAACATGGGAAAATAGGGTCAAGTTGAATAATACAGAAGTTACCCTTTAATAGCCATGAAGATCAGTTTACTAGCCACGTGGAGTTTGAAAAATATTGGGCATTTATAAAGGCCTTTAAGAAAGGCACTATTGGGTATTAGTATTGTAAGTGTAGGAAGCAGCATTTTTGGAGGTTGACCCGTACTAGAGTCAAAAAGTCAGGACATCTCGGCCTCTGCTTTTTTTTTTCAATCTCTCATATGTCCTTTAGTTGCATTGCAGTGCAGTGCTACATATAATACAAAACAATATATTATAATTCTATTTATAGCAAACATGCTAAATAAATGAAATACAAAGTTGCTGAATAAATGGCTATTACTGCAACTAAATGAATTGACTAGAAAAAACAAAATATACATGTTGAAGACCCTCCCCAGCTCCCCGAAAAAAAAACAAGACGACCTGGGCTGCAGCACTAAAAAAAATTCATACAAAATCCTCCCCCTTTTCTAAACCCTTCTCCCTCCTAATAATATTTAGACATTCCTTTAGCTTAAGCAAATGACTGTCACAGGTAACTAACATGACTGAGAGGATTAACAGCTTCTTGGCTGCTAACATCATCACCTGGAAATCACGGTAAGTGCACTGCAACAGTCCTGCAGGAGCAAAGCTAAAGCCAACAGGGATTCAGTCTCTGGGTGTCAACACTGGGATTTAAACTGTGCAAAGTACAGCCTCTCTTGACATTAACCTGGTGTTGGGGGGAAAAAGTTTTAAAATCCAGTTTCTCACAAATAATATTGACTGATTCAGCGTCAACATACACAAATTATAATTCCTATTTGCAAAAGCCCAGAAAACCTTGGAACCTTATGGGACCTGTTGTTGGAGGCATTTTGTTCCTGATGTATCGTCGTTGTCATTTCAAGAGAAAGAAAATGTTCTGCCAAAGTGAAACTCAGTGTCGAGGGGATGTCAGGTGATACCAAGTTTTGGTTCTTATCGTATCTCACCAGCCACTTGTCACTTGACATTTTAAAGACTGTATATAAACTTGTGCTGTGCGAAAGGTGCCCTCAGGCGATGTCACAGCAGTGCACAGCTCAAAGCTGACTGGTGTCCCCTTACCTGGAGGGTTTTAACACGGTGCCTGATCCAGTGTTGGTGTTCAGGGGCTACTGACACATTCACATCACATCACAGATTCAAAACATACCAACAATGATATTAGATCTGCATGTGTGCCTTGAGCATTAAGATCTAATTGGAATTTGTGTTGAGGAGTTTGAATTAATTTAGCAGGAAAACAAGAGTGAGAAGTTCACCAGATCTCTGTTGTGCTGTTTAGCTGAAGGCAAACAACAATATTATGATCTCAGCATGGGGGAAATCAAACCAGTGCACATGGTACAAATCTACTCTTCTGCAGTTTGTGCATCTATGGCTTTAACATATGTTGTGTAAAGTGAAGTATACTGACATGATGTGTGTGTGTGTGTGTGTGTGTGTGTGTGTGTGTATGGCTGATTGTCTGTCTGTGTGTGTATGATTGTGTAATACTTCCAGCGACTGATGGCGAGGAGTTTGTGAGTGTTCTCACTGAGTTGCTGTTTGAGCTTCACGTTGCTGCAACACCTGACAAACTCAACAAGGTGAGTCACACACACACACACACACACACACACACACGCACAATAATTACAGTAATTGTGAGGATATTCATTGACTTAAATGAATTCATTAACTATTTTCCTCACCCTAGCCCACTCTACTACCTATTTTAAAGCTCGGACATACTTTACACACAGACAGACATCCACCGACAGCTACATGGAAGTGCACGCTTCTATACATAGTACAGTTGAGGGTCCATGTCACCCTCAAACATGGGAGGGCTGGGAGGTGAGTTTACAGTCCTCCTACTGCCAATAACATATGAAAGTGAACATCTGTCTAATATATAACTTAAAACTAACTTCACTACGGTGCGGCTGCAGCAGCTGGCTTGACCGCAGCGTTTTGGTGTGGACTGGAGTATGGGGCAAGAAATAATAGTTTGTAATTGGAGCATAAGCAGTTGGCGCACTTGCTATGCATACAGTCCACATAGCCACAAATTTTGGGCTGCACGCAGACATCCACAATGGGTGCAGACATGTGGTCCTTAAGTCTAAGACTAAAACACACCAACACACAACAGGAAAACTTAGAGGCTGAGCAGGTAGACGTTTCATTTTCTTCACCAGCTGTTAAACATTTTCTTATAAGATCATTTCAGGTCTGTCTCATACATAATTCACATTCTCATATGTACATTTGAATATTTATTGGCCCCTGTAATTGTTCCTCTTCTGCACACTGGCCATGAAGTTAATCCTGTCATAGTATGTGAATTCAAAATCCATAGTGTGAACAGATGAAGCTAAAATGAAGCTTCATTTCAGCTGTTTGAGTCAGAAACATCAAGTGGGTATGTGGTGTTTCCTGTCTGTATTTCACATAAAACACATTATGTGTTTCCTGAGGCGTGATGATTGTGTTGAGTACATTTCTTCCTCATGAAGCATTTGCAAAGCAATTTTTTTAAAGAAGATTAGAAAGTGTGATTTGCTTACATCCATGTTTACTTACGAAAACTCCTCTTCTCTATTTCCTTCGTAAGCATGTTGCTGTTTTTTTTTTTCATTTACTTTTTTCTTTATATTAACCCACATCATAGACACTTCACATAAGCAATAACATTATTATTTATCAAAGGAGAGGGGGTAGCTGGGGTGTGAATATGTCTTTTTTTTGGTTTGATTGTTTTTTTAACCCTCCCCGGAACTACGAATATTCTTAAAATGCTATAAATATCTATAAAATGCATGACCCACCCTCCACAAACAAACAGCTTCATTAATTTATTTAACAAAATGCATAGTCTGTATAAAAGAATGGACTAGCTACTGTTACATCACCCATTGGTTTGTGGACTCCTGTTTTAAAATCTTGAGTTTAACATTTCGGCTGTTGACATCTTGGTTTTTGGAGCCAGAAGTTACTATTTTTGGATTAGAGGTTGGAGCTGTGGAGGAGCCAGGGGTGGATCTAACTCATAGACTGTAGAAATTCCTCATAGACAGCCTGACACTCAAACGGCCCCACCCTGAAATATGCATAACTGTAAGCCTTAAAATAAATAAATAAAATGTAAACAGGTGAGTTATGTAAAAATTCACCCCCTGTACAGTTGTCAAGGATGTTGAAATTACCTATGGAGACCAAAATCATTGTTTGCAGCAGGCTGTAATGTTGAAGCTTTATTTCTGCTATAGAGTTGGGCATTTTAACTTGAGGGTCTGTGGGGATTGCCTGGCTTCTGGACCCAGCCTCAAGTGGACATTTGAGGAACTGAGATTTTGGCACTTCTGCATTGGCTCCATTTCTCAGCCCCGGAGGTTGCCGCTTGGCAAAAAGCAAATCCTCCTTACACCTCGCTTCATCCCACAAGCTGTCTGTGCACTTCAGCAGAATATGGGTGCATGAAAGCCACCAGTCATTGGTCCTACCACACAAATCCAACATTTGATAAGCCTGCTGGCACACACATCACACACACACACACACACACACACACACACACACACACACACACACACATACATTACAATGCCAGCATTAGCAAGTGTACATGTAATGACAGTTTTCCCAAACCATAACAGACACAACAGTGGTAGCCAGAATGATATCAGTAACTTGGCTCAGTGATTGTTACTGTATTAGATTTTAAAAACTTACCCCTTTATGATCAAAATTTAAAAGTTAAAAGTTGAACAACAATCCTGTAGTTGTAAGAAGCCTTGGTTTTTCACTGTTGTCATGCATGTAGGATCACAGAATTTAATCTTTTTTTACAGGAACTGGTTTTGTTGCATCCTCATTGTTTTGATTTTTTCTTAGTTTTCTTTGTTTCACATAAAATTATCAGATTTTCTTTATTGAGAACGCCCTTCTATCTTCAACAAATTGAAACTTTTGAAACATTCAGAAAAGCGCAAAGACTCTGATCTAAATATTTTTTGGTTTCCCATTAAATGTCTGGGTTTTATGTACTCACAGATTGTAATGCTTTCCATATGGCTTTAAATTAGGGTAGTTTCTTTCTTTACTATAGTATTGTTCATATTTAAAAAGCAGAAAAGGGTAATAGTACCAAACCAGCATTCTGGGAACTTTAGAAAATTTGTGATTACACGTAAAGTAAAAATCGATGTCGAAGAAGTTCAAGTCCACTGAGACCATGTAGGTCCCCTCCTACATGGTTCTATATATTCCTTAAACCCTCATAATAAACTTAATTCTAACCTTGTCTTAGACCACTTGAATAGAATCCCTGCAAAATGTCCTCACTGTTCCTCAGTGTTCTCCCCTTGGTTTTTTTTATATTTGGTACACACTCACACACAAAGTCTTCTCTCTCTCCTGCCACAGTCTCTGACGTTATACAAAAGTTATCACCTTTGAAGTCCTTCTGCATATTCAAATTCACATGTATGGAATGTATATTAGCATATAATCGTGTATACGCATCTGATTAGCATACATCAGGATGGCGATCTCTTACCACGCAGCACTGATGGGTGGTAATTATGCATCTCCAGGCTCGGATGAGGGCCCATGATTGGGTGAGCGAGGTGGAACAGCCTGTCACTACGGAGACGGTTGGCAAGGAAACGCAGGACCAGCCGGCAGGAGAGACCTCACCTGGAGAGAACGATAAGGAGGAGAAAAAGAAAGACGGAGAAGAGCAGGGGGAGGAGAAGGGCGAGGTGGAGGGAGAGAAGGGCGGAGAGGAGGAAAAGAAGGAGAAAGAGAACGACCCCAGATCTGTAGAGGTGAGGTCAACTCAACAGTGTTACGTGACAGGAAAGACTGTCTTCATTCTTTTAATTTAACCTCCCTCTCCTCCTCCTGCTGTTACAAGCTGATTTGTTTTGATACAGTTATTCTTCATACATCATATACAAATGTATGTGTGTGTGTGTGTGTGTGTGTGTGTGTGTGTTCATGTCCCTCTCTCCAGGCTGTCTACCTGTCATCAGTCGGCAGTCTGGCAGAAGTGACGGCTCGCAGTATTGAGCAGCTCCACAAGGTGGCAGAACTCATCCTCCATGGCCAGGACTTGGAGAAACCAGCCAGAGACCAGGCACACATCCTCACCAGGTGTGTGTGTGTGTGTGTGTGTGTGTGTGTGTGTGTGTGTGTGTGTGTGTGTGTGTGTGTGAGAGAGAGAGCGAGCACATTACATGAGACGAGTGAGCTTTGCTAAGGTCAACATTTTTATTCCAGGTTGACATGTGCCATGTGTAAGGAGGTGGAGTGCTTGGCCAAGAAGTTCTGTGATACCCTGCTTCTTGTTGGGGTAGGTGACAGGGATTGTGTGAATAGTGTTATTCTATTTTTTTTCTAAATCAACTAATCCCATGAAAAATCTGCCACTTGATAATTTCTGACTTCCCTGCCCCATCTCAGTCGGTGTTAAATCAACCATTCACCATATATACCATTCATATTATACCATATATACTATTCATATACCACCTCACTTTAGGAAGGTTAATATGATATGTATGAAACATCCAAAGTAACGTATATGTAGTTTGCAGAAACATACAATGCCAACACTTTCTTCTAGCGTGGGTGATGAGGGTTCAGTTTTGAATTTTCTGTGTAAGAGTTGCAGCATCCACAGGCTGGCTCTCTGTCTATACTTACAAAGATACAGAGTTCTTGTGAAGAACATGTATATGAAGGTTGTGTTTTACCCACTCTACCAACACCCATGAGAAAGCTGGGAAACACATTAGGTAAATAAAGAGTCTTTCAATAAGTCAGCTAATGTTGCCAAGTTTTTTACATTTCAGCCTTTGTAAGTTGAGCACCGTGCTGACTGGTGAGGTACCGACAACATACTTTTTCATGTTAATGAGAGAAAGTGTCTCTCAGTGAAACAGTGTGGCTCGTTTATGTGTTTTTAATAGTTTTTGGAATATAATGGGGGTCTATGGCAGGAAGAAGCTGCTGTATATGACACTTGTCAGTAGGTTTTTCCTGGAACTTTTTGACGAATCTAAAATATCACCAGCCTTATACTAAAGTCTTAGTTTATTTGTGTTTTCTTACCAACCCACTTATTTTTAATCAGTTCACTGAGTAACATGATAGATCTCACATCTCACTGCTGCTTTCTGTCTCTCATTTCTCTCTCTCTCTCTCTCAGGGCCAGAGGAAAGCAGAGGAGTTGAATCCACTAGTAGATAGTGTGCAGCTAGAGGTGAGATGCACAGATTTGTCATCAGATGATGTTGAATATAATCAAGTGACAGTGAATGAAATGAATAATGTGGCAGTCTCTGCCTGATGGTGGCTGCTAGAAATGCCTCAATAATCATTGTGACTGATATGACATTTGATTGTGTTTAATCTGTTAAAGGAGAATAAGGTGAGAGCCTCACAAAATGTTCAGAGATATGTTTTTAAATGATCAAAAATCAAAATAGATTTCTAACACTGGTATTACACTTAAAATACATGTTATTCCCAATGCAATCAGCATTTTAGACTAAAACTCAACCACAAATGTGCCTCCACAACATTTTATTTTAGATATTAATGTTTTATGCTTTGTTTTTAGTATTTTATTAGAATTTTGTGCATGTGCACTGTGTTCCATACTTAATGATAGGGTGTTGTTAGTCACCAATGTTTGTTATAAATGTTACATGCTCTCATGCAGCTGATAGTTATGGTAAGGATGATGATGACCATGAGGAGAAGGAGAAGGAGGAAGAGGATCAGATGATGATTATTAGCATAATGAAGTTTGGGACGATGATGATTACGATAATCATGATTAGGATGATGAGGATGGTGATGATGATGATGAGGTTAATGAAGATTATGATGATGAGGAGGAGGAGGAGGATCATTATGGGATGATGATAATTTGGATGTGGATGATGAGGATTAGGATGATAATATTGATTAGGATGATGATGATGATGATGATGATGATGATGATGATTTGGATGAGGCTGATGGGGAGGGGGATGATGATGTTTAAGATGAGGAAGATGAGGTTGATGATGATTAGGATGGGGATAAAAAGGAGGAGGCTGATGATTAGGATGAGGATAAAAGGAGGAGGCTGATGATTAGAATGAGGATAAAAAGGAGGAGGCTGATGTTTAAGATGAGGAAGATGAGGTTGATGATGATTAGGATGGGGATAAAAAGGAGGAGGCTGATGTTTAAGATGAGGAAAATGAGGTTGATGATTATTAGGATGGGGATAAAAAGGAGGAGGATGATGATTAGGATGAGGATAAAAAGGATGAGGCTGATGATTAGAATGAGGATAAAAGGAGGAGGCTGTTGATTAGGATGAGGATGATCAGGAGGAGGAAAAGGAGGATGATGATGACAATGATGATGATGATGTTCATGATGTTCATGGGTCTCCTGTCTGCAGGGCTCCAACAGCACCAACTACATTGAGAATGCATTGCAGCTGCTGCTTCCCGTCCTGCAGATCTCTCACATCCAGAGCCAGCACTGTCAGTCCACCACAGAACCAGCAGCACAGACGCAGCATTAACACACACACACACACACACACACACACACACACACACACAAGCTACCTGCTCACATGCTTGTCTTAATGTATCTATTGTTGTACAGTAAAATATAGATTATTCCAGATTAAGTGCTTAAATCTACATCAAGTGCCATGTGCAGGGGACAGAAGATGTTTTAAATATACTTAATATAACCTTGAAGGTAACAGTTTAGCAAATAGATAATGTAGGAATGACCCACATGCAGCATGTATGCATGTCTCTTCCACATTACATCTCTGAATGTCATTTTGTCTCAGTTGACATTTTGCTTTGAGGAACCAAATGGTACTCAGAGCTGATTCGAGATCAGGTGTGACTCATACCTCTCCAAAAGCTGAACCAAAAATTACTGATTGTGTTGAAGGGACTTGACTTTAATGTATATTAAGCTTTCTTTGCACTCCTTATGGGCCAATGTTATTTCAAATGAAAGAGCAATTTACTAACACTAATGGAATGTTTTAATCTGGTTTGAGACAAAATGCCAGTGTTAATGATTATACACAGTTTGTTCTTGTTTTTGTTTATGTTAAATTATGTGAAGTAACACTACTTTATAATTTACTCTTATTCAGTTTGATTTGACAGAAACATCTGAACTTCATACTACTAAATTACAAAATATTTAGTCCTCCTTCCTCCTCCTTGTGTGTATCGAAGATATAATGAAGGTGAATTCATCTCTCATTATGTTTTGTTGTGCTGCTACACTCAAATAGTATACTGTAGTCTGACACTTTCAGAAATTTGCTCAAAGGGATAGTGCAGATTTTTTTGAAGTGGGGTTGTATAGGGGAACATATTTATAGTCAGCGTATCACATACAGTAGATGTCAGTCAGTACATCCCCAGTTTTGAGAAGCAGAAAGGAGTGCCGGCACAGAAGCTAAGCAATGTACTGCTATAGATGGGGGCAGCAGCAGAATGTATTTTAGCTACCTAAAAAGTCCCGGTTCAAAAGTTCAGTTTGTTTTCCAGGTGGAATCACTGGCTGATATTAAGCTAAAGCAATGAAACTGCTCTAAATATAGCAAACACTGAAACTGATACAGATTTTTTTCAAGTGGGGCTTTTTTTAGGTGCCTAAAGTACATTTTGTTGCTGACCCCTCCACAGCAGTACATTGCTTAGCTTCCATGTTGGACTCCTGCTTGCTTTTCCAAACTGGAGGCGTGCCAACTAACATCTACTGTATTTAATAGAGTGTCTTTGGATAAGTACCACATAAAACCCCACATCAGAAGATCTGAACTATCCCTTTAATTGCTTTCTTGCAGAGTTGGATGAGAAGATCAATTACAATCATATCTGAGGGTGGTATTGTTCTTCTCAACCAACTCTTGGCAAGAAAAAAATGAGAGTATTTCCCAAAATGTTGAGCTGTTTATTTAATAATAAAATGACATGTCATGCCCTCTGTTGGATCCTTATCTGAACACCCCAATGAAGACATTAGCCACAACATTTTTATTTCATTTTGCCCTCCTGAATAAAGGCTTTAAATACCGTTTTTGCCAGGTTCTAGATTTATACTCTGTGCTCCCCAGAGTTACACATATCAACTGTTTTCCACCTTATTTTTTTCCCTTTCCTGCAACCACCTGTAGAGTTTTCAGCAGCAATCCCAAGGTGCTCACAGTGTATCTGTGTTTTTAATATCCAGTGTTAAATTGGCTCTCAGCCTCCAGCCAGCAGATCTCTGGAAAAGATAAAGTACTCTCTTCCCCTCCCACTTCTTCCCTTTTAGAGATACATTGATGCAGGCAAGAAAGATATTAAGCCAAGAAAATATTAGTCTATCTGTCGTAATGTTTTGGCTCCTCTCAGCCATATCCAGATGGGGCACGGCCGTTCATCAGCCATGCATCTGCCTTAGAATACAAAATGATTTGTAATGCGAAATGAGAAATGTTTGGGAGGCAAGTCATTTATTTAGGTTTTGACAGTTTACTAATGTATCAGGATTCCCTTCTAATTAAGTGCCCTAAGACTGTTTGAGGATGAGATGTCGAAAATAAACAAGTTTTAACCAACTCCATGTGTCTCAGATGTTTTTTATTTTCCTCACAGAGGAGGCTGGCAATGGAAGCAGTCATTTTTATTTTTATCCAGTCCACTCTGAGGCCATTTGTGTGCTCCTCTGGTTGCTCCTCTGTCATCAGGCCTGCTCCTCTGTGAAGGAGGTGGCGGGATGGCAGCGATGATGCAGATGTGCTAAAGATAGACATGATAAAAAATAGAATAAACACACTGGAGTTAAATGACAGTGAGAAGAGTTAGGGTGAGGTGATCTTAACTCTGCATGACATTTCGTGTATAGTAAATTCATTCAGGCTGCTGATCATATTAGAAACACTAAATACGGATAAAGGATAAGTTACAGTGAATCTAGGACCAGATTCAGTATCATCTAAAAGAGAGGATGGAAGAACTGTGTGGGAAGTGTCAGTGCTGAAAACTAACTAGTATGATACGATGCGATGTGATTTGATACAATACGATATGATAAGATGCAGTATGATGTGATACGATACGATATGACATGATACAATATATTTTATTGTCCCTGTAGGTAAATTCGTCTTGGACTCAGGAGCTGCACAAGTGTTGCTGCCTTACGATAATAGTCCAGAAGAAATGAAGCATACACCATAAAAACATAAAATCACATGCTACACATAACAGTACATCTTCTCTAGTACTGTAGCCTACTTAACTATGGTTTTCAAGTTTTTGTACTTAGCTTGGGTAATTCAATTTTGTACTCTATACTTTACTACACTCACAGTTTCAGTTAGGCTACATTAGTTTGAGATAGTGGTAGGCTACTTTGCAGATCCAGATTAGTAATACAAAATATAACATACAATTCAGTGAACAGTACAAAAATGCAATCAATGCAACTTAGACCTATTGTCCTCGTTCATGGACACTTTTTTGTGCTATTTAGTGGAGGTAAGAGCACAATACACTAATCCAAGTAAAAACAAGATGGCAGCCATCTCGGCCGAGTCAGTCTGCAGCCAATCCTGACACAAAAGTGGACAACGTCCAAAACCTGATCACATTCTATGATTGAAACTTGTTTATTTATGATTAAGATTGTTTGTTTGGCAACAAATTTGACCAATTTTAGCAACAGTAACAAGCTACGACACTGTTAATTAGGAAGTACTCGTTTAAAGACATTGGGACTTTATTATCGTTGATAATGTTTAGGTTTTTATACTTATCAGGTCCTACTAATTACAAATAGCTAGGAGAAATTAAAAATGCATACCAAACAAACATTTGGGTCTCAGGAGGTTAAAGTTAGCTTTAGTTTAAAAAAAAAAAAGGTTGGAGCTACCTTAATTATTCGCTGATTTAATGCACCACCCAGCGAGCATGCCAAGTCAAACACACCTAAGATGCAGCGTCACCAACAGGTGCAGTTCATGTTGTGACTGGTCATCATGCTAAATGCTAAAATATTCATGCAGTGCCTCCACAGAGGAACTATTACCTTCAGTGAGTAGTGTGAGGACTCTCTGCTGTTTGTGACAATCCTGATCAGCTGCTTTTTGAGTTACCGTAAAACTTCAATTAGTAGCCTTGGCTATTATTTGCTTAAATCAATGAACTCAACAGGCTTAGTTTAGGAACAGGTGTCCATATGGGACAGGCCTTTAATTACTTTGACACACAACTGTTGCTCAGCAAAGATGGGAAATATGTTCAAACAAAATTGAATTTGTATGAATATTACTTGTGTAAAAATTAGGCTTTGAATAACATATCCATTATATTATGACACTTGTTTCACAGCACCTGGCATACCAAAGCAACACTGCTTTATCTTGTTAAAACAATACTCACAACTTGGATTCTTTGATTCTTTTGATTGGTGGACACTTACAGACTGAATAATACAAATAACTTACTGGGTAATCGAGGAATGGACACATAGTCTGACTTTATGACAGCTGCAGAAGAAGGGAGTCACCACCAGAGTTGGGTAAAGGTTACTTTAAAAGTAATCAAAGTACTTTACTGCGTTACTTTTTTAAAAGTAACCAGTTACTTTACTTTGTTACTCCCTGAGTAAAGTAACTCAATTACTTTAGAAGTACTTCCAACGTTACTCCCTGAGAAAAGTAACTCAAGCACTTTTAAAGTACTTTTGAGTATTCTACATTTCCTATTGGGCAATGGACCACAGGGCGCTCAGCCTACATTTTTTGTCTCCAAAATTAAAGTTATGGACCACTTGCCCTTCACTGAGATCCAATTCTCCCATCACAGCCGTCACTTTGACCAGTAGAAACACAGAACGATCTGCTGCCGTAGACAACTGTATGACAACAACACCCCAGCGTTTTTAATATTTCCTCTAGGGATGTTACCACACAGAGTAAAAGGGGGAAATGATGGTGTGAAACAGCAGAGGCACTTTGTCAACCCGCTGAGTTAACCTTACTGTCATTAGCATCAAGCTAGCAAAAAATGCTACATCCTCGCGGTCGGACATAAAGTAATAACATTAACAAATAGCGGCGGGGCTTTTACTCACCACAACTGCAGAGGCTCCCAGCTTCATTTGAAACAAACTGCATTATAGACGGTCCGTTATTTATTAATCCCTCTGTATCTTTATATAGGCTATTTATTTTTTATCCACCCCCATTGTCTTTATAAAGTTAACATATCGCGCCGTCATTTCAAACTCAACACTTCCTGAATTTGTTTCAAATTAAAAGCCCCTTATAACCTCGGCTAGAGAATCCCTCAATTTTCTACATAGGCTTTTATTCTGAAACATTTGTAGGAACTTGGTTGTGGAAGATACAGTAGCTTGAATGTTTACGTACAGTACTTCAAATGTAGCTCCTGCCATCTGCTGACACTTTTAAATGACTACAACAACATGTCGGCTCGCACATGAACACACACAGTGACTGAAATAATAGTGAAAGTAATAAAAATAGAACAAGAATAACCCGATGACATCACACAAGCTGTGAAAGACGACCGGGGATAATTGGTAAGTACCATCGTGTAGTGTGTCATGTCTGTCGGCCAAGTCACGGCACGATTTTATGACTCCACAATCGTGTAATATGACATAGTGACTTTCAGAATGGGCAGAAAAGTCATGTAGTGTGTACCAGGCATAATGCAAGTCCTGAGTCTGAAATATGTCTGTCAGCGAGTCCTACTCCACCTATTTAGACTCCACCGTAGACAACGGCATCATTTCTTCTACCACGTAGCGAGCCACAAGCTCCGTGGCTTCTTTCAGACTGATAGGTTTAACGTTATCTCTGTTATTAGAACCAAAAGACAGTTGTTGCTGTTTCGGAGCTGAAGGACCAGCGTTCTAAAAGTAATGGAAGTAACTGATGTCTTGTAGAAAAATGTACTCAAGTATTTGATTACTCAAACAGCAAACTAACGCGTTAGGTTACTTGTTACTGCAAAAAGTAATCAAAGTACTCTAACGCATTACTTTGTAAAGCGTTATACCCAACTCTGGTCATCACTTGTGTTTTTTTTTGTAATGCTGCTAAACCTGAGGAGTCTTCTCTGGTGCTCTGGTTTCAGTAAAATGAAATCAGCGGTGTTAACGATGTGTAGCATCTCCGTATTGACAAAAGTTAAAACATTTATATTTGTATGTACAATCTAAGGTTATCAACAATCCGGTTTTATACATCCAAAGAATTTCTATAAAAATAACTGCTTGGCAACCAGACCAGGCGTCTAATTGAGACAGGCGTTTATTTGTCCAAATGTGTAGCCACACCAGGCTAGTATAAGGAACTGTGTGTTTAATTGGAACTAGGCCTTAAATTGACGTTTTATGGTTTTCAGTTTTATTCTTCTGTACAGAGCGGTGTGCGTGTGCGCTACATTGCGCGTAAAACTTGAGAAGCTCTGTTTTTGTTTGTGGTTGTATCTGTAGTTACGGCGGAGTTTATATTATTTATACAACTCTCTGTGTTCTGTTGTTTGCTTTGGGGATGTTTTATTCTAGCCTACTGTCGAATCTGTAAGACGCCAGGCTATTTAATTCATGTGACCTAACACGATCAGAAAAAATAGCAAGTCAGTTTAAAAGATCTGAGTGGTGTCTCATAATGGTTCTCAATGGAAACCAATTTAGGAACAAAAAACACACCAAAAGTATCTTCTTTCAGTTAACATGTTTACCTGTATAGCAGTGGTCGACATTTCCGTCCAGCAGAGTTTCTATCTCATCTGAAAAATGCATGTGAAGACTATTAACACATTAAACTAATCACTAAGATCTCTTTATTTGTTAAACTGTGTATAGGACAGTTTCCTACCTTGAGTGTCAACTTCTTGAATGGGTGACAGTCCTGTCCATTAAAAAAAAACATGTCAAGGGACTGAAAGGACAGATTAATCAATTTTTTTTTAATCCAAACTGTGTGTTTGCATTTAGGAACTGACCTGACCAAGGCCGGGAATCATAGGCCTGAGGGATCATCCCTGTTGGACAATAAAAGCTCATTAGTATCTAAATTCATTACATTTAAAATCATGCCAAAAATAATGATGTAGAGTTTATGGACTATTTATGTGTAATTTACCAAAACAATTTACCTTTGGAAAGGATGATCTCTGAGTGTTTCTCACCATCTAGTTTAAAGACAATTAGAAACATACAGCATATAATGCATATTTATAATTTTCATTTCATAAAGAGTTGTACTGAAAGCTAAAATTTGTCTACCTGCCTCAATTTTAAAAAAGGTATAATTCTGAGAAAGGACAGACTCAGTGCTCACAGGGCCCTGACATCTGCTATGACATGTTATTTATTCTTTATTCTGATTTGATTGATTTTATGTGTGTGAATTGATATTAATTGTTTATGTGCATCTACCTTTTTTAATTCAAAATATTTTGAACTGAACTGAATATTACAAAATTTCATGCTGACTGTAAGATGAACACTTGACCACAGGTTGCGTTAATAATATGTCTGCACACACAGTTTGAACTTTATATATGGGAAAGTGTGAAG